TGTCACATTCAAGCTCTCACGCTATGCGATCAATATTATTTAGGGTATATTTATAATAATTTGTTCAATAAAAAAATTAAATATTTTTTTTTTTGTAATAAAAGTCACAAACATTTCAGGGCTTAAGGGACAAAAGCAAAAAAAACTTATTCAGCAAGCGAGTCATATGTATGTACATACATACATATATACATAAGTACATGCACTAAAACTGCTGTAACACGTGCCTTATTATTTTCTAAAAATAGCATGTGGTTTTATAATATGTTCGAAACAGATTTGCGCATAAATTGTTGAGAAATAAAAAAAAGAAAGAATTTTCGAATTAGCTTATTGACGTCCAAGCAAGATAATTCATAAACAAATGTGTAGTGCTCATAAAATTTTACACAGGCATTGCTAAACAATTTTTTGAGAATTTTCATCTAAACCACATTTGATTTTCATTGTTGTGCGCAAAGAAATGTCATTGAGATTGCTGAGCTTTATAAAAATAGCACAAGCCAGAGAGCCTACAATATGTATGTATGTACGAAATGCACGATACAATGATACAAACAGCTGAATGGTAACAATGACGACAGCTAATATGCACTAGCAATAAAAATTATTTAGTGAATTTAGTGTACATACATACATACATATGTATGTGTGTGTGTGAATATGTTATCGGAAATATGTGATTTTCTCTTCTATTCTCTTTATGAGCTACTTTTTTTACACATTAGTTCTGTAGGCATTTTTTAATTTTGATTTTGAAAAAAATTTAAATATATTTTTTATTTTAGCTACAATGCCATTTGTAGTTATATACATACATACTATGTACATATTTGCATATATTACAGTTCATACATATATGTGTATAAACCGTTATTTCCTTCTTTTTAATTACAGCGCGACATTACGTTATCATGTCTCACAACCGCTCTCTTTTGCCGCACGCTTTGTTCTCACACTCTCTCTATGACTTGCTTAAATTTTATTGTATTTTTTCATTTTACTGTTACCTTGTTCCGATTTCGTTGATTTTAAATTTTTGTTAAATTTACAGCTTCCTTTGAAAATAATTTAATTATAATTTAAATTTTTTAAAATATTTCAATCATATTTTAAATTTATGATTTTTATATGTGGTACTGTAGATTTATTTACGAATTTATATGATCGAAAGATTAAAAAATATCTGCCTGTTAACCTCAATTATGCTTAAAGCTCCACATAAAACCAATGCTAAGCGCAAGCCAATCGATTTTTATAGCTAAGGGGAATTTATGTGTTAACAGGAAAGTTGCTATAAAAATTGAGATTCAAAATAGAACTAGTCAAATTGATTTTGAATTTGAAAGTATGATTGTGTGTATATGTATGTATGTATTTACGTGTGCGCTTATGAAAACCCAGCTCATAATTATCATGCGATATTTCTAATAAACTTTACCACCTTTTTTATGCTAAATGAAAGAACCTGATGCTGTAGCATAATTTCGACGAGAAATGACGTAATAGATTGACTACTGTGCTGTTAATATACGAAACGACAATTGTAGGGGAATTCAGTAAATTTATCGATACGAATAGTCGCATCGCAAACTTGCTATTATGCGATTCGTTAACGCATTTTGAACGTCAATCGACAACTTTTACCGAAATGAAGGAAATGTGGCCGCTAAAGTTTTGAAATTCGAATCACAAAGGCGGTGGGCAACTTTAGGTGTTTTAATATTATTATAATTAAAAAAATTACTCAAAAGTTATATTAATACATATAATATTTCTCTGTAGATATTGCTGTTATTATTTTTTTCTTTTAATTGGCAATTAAATCTGGCGTTAATCCATGCATGTATATAGATTCCGAAACTCAGTTGCATTCAAACTTCTCTCCAATGATGAAGAATATTTCTACATTTTGTGATAAAACGAATACCAAATACTCAAAAGTCAAAAAAAAAAAATTCTTTTTATCTAGTTAACGAAATTTCCAATTTTTTTTTAACTTGAATAAAATATCAATCTATTGTCGATGGTGATGACAAATACAAAATATTCGTCGCTTACTTAGCAATATGTCGGTTAGTTTACGAGAACAACTGATCAAGCGTTAGCATATATCTTTAAAAAAAAAGTACAGCAAATATTAAAATCGGTAAAATTATCGCTAAGCTATTTTAACGAACCGAAGATCGTTTTAATATGTGCAATAGAGAATCCCACCACCGATGTTAAAACATCTCAGGGCAGTGAACAGTTGGGATTTTCATTTGATTTTAAATATTTTTTTAAAATCTGTCATATGGTTTAGCTGATTTTCAAATATAAACTTGCATATTTAGTCTGCAAAAAATTGAAATTTTTTTGAGCAAAAACTGAACACAGCTGACTTACTACTAAATATAAGTATGACATATAAATATATATAAGTGTGTTCGTTGCTGCTTGTAATATAAATTTAGTTATAATTTTATTAATTATAGATTTAATATTGTTCTCAAAGAGCTTCTAGGTTTATACATATATTTATGTATGCATGTTCGTATGTCTGTCGCTTTTTTTTACTTTTACAATGGAAATTGTACATATGTATATGTGTATATACGCATACATATGTATTTTTGGGTCAAGGTCAAAATGCTAACACAAAGTGGAACAGCGTTGGCGTCGCAGTCGTCGTAGTTGTCACCTCTGTCAGTATATGTACATACATATGTATAACTATCGGTGCCGCATTTGACTAGCACTAAACTGCAATGACACTTTACATTGGGCCGGTTGCTGTCACTGTTGCAATAATTGCATCACATGTGTACATAAGTTATATGAGAATAAATGCAAGTATGTGATTGTGCTTTTAATTTGTACGTAAAGTAGAAGAAAAGTATGTATACAATTAAATTTTGCAGCCTGCAAAACTGCTACTCTTGCTTTAATTTACTTGAAATGCCAAATATGCATGTATGCATGGGAGTGTGTACACGCCACTTTATTAATTTAATACAAAAATTTTTCCACGTGTTAAAAAAAAATATAATACATAAATATGTACATACAGAGTTTACCCAAAACCATGTTAAATGCACATTAAATACTCATTTGAAATACATACATACATACATACATATTTTTCAATTAAATAAATAAATATAATATTTGCATTTATTCGTATACTTTATGAAAATGATTAATTTCATTAAACCTGATGCTAGCCTGCAGGGCAATTCTCTATCGTATTATAACGATTTTCGGATTGTTCTAATGACTTAACGATAATTTTAACGATTTTGCTATTCTCTAAGCACAGTATAACGATTTTCGGATCGCAAATTAGACTTAGCGATATTTTTAACGATAATCGCTATTCTNGCGTTAGAGAATCGCATAATCGTTAGCGCAAGCGACAAAATTCGTAACTTTGCGATCCGACAAATCGTGTCGATAAAAGTTACAGAATTGCACTGCTGATCTTTTTTCTGTTTTGCTTTTTTTTTCTGAGAACAATGAAATGAGGACGGCGTTTTGTGTAGAGGCAATCGCACGAAAACACGTGTATGCGGAGATTCACTTTTCGCAGCTGTTTGAAGTCTCTTTTGAGTCGTTTCTGTATGAATGTCGCTCTCTCACAATTTTTCTCTTAATTTTAACGACATTTCACTTCCGATCTCCCGTAGTTTGTTTTACTACATTTTCGTAGTTTTATAAATGAATATTTTTCTTGTCTAGATATATGTATATATATTTACGTATGTAAACGCGTAGACCGTATTTATCTACATATACATATGTACATATGTATGTGGTTGTATACAAAGCACTTATGTACATATATATTACAAAAAAATATATATTTTTTAATCTACTTTTAAAATTTAGTCGGTTCTTTTATTTAGTACTAAATGGGATTTTATATAGCGGTATTTTGTTTACTTGCATTTGTATGGACGAAATTCAGGTATATAAACTAAAATGTATCTTAGAATGTAGTTCTTAGTATATTATATGTGTGTAGTATATAATATTTTTGCATACTAGGACAACAGAATGTATATACATGAATATGTATGTATATGCATTTGTTCTTTTTTGTTTCGTAAAAAACCCATAATAAAATCAGCTGTTCTGTCATTGCCACCACATGGTAAATAATGAATCAACAAAAAATGGCTCTTTTTGTGAGCTGCACTCGGTTCTCAATCTGCGATGACTGTTAAAAATCGAATTTCAAAATCCCATTATCGGCTATGCCACTCTGTAAAGCTTTAAGTCGGCCTGAATTTTGATTTCGATAGTGCAGCAAAAAATGTTGGGAAAGTATGCTGAAATATATTACTTTTTCAATTTTAACCAATTATAAATTTTGGTTTTCGTATGAGCATGTTTTTGATAACAGTCCCCAATCGGTAATATTATTAATACGTAAAGTTTTTCTAGTACTTTCCGTAAACTGATTGCTCAGCAAACCATATCAGCTGATATTAACATACCATTGTGAATAACTCAAAAGAAGAAAAAATCACCAATAGCGATATCCTTTGTAGAAAACGCATGATAAAACCAAATAAAAACTGGTTCAATTGTCAAACCGTGTGCACTTCATAAAAGTGTTTAAAGTATTAAAAATCAGTGGATTATTGTGATCAAATTTAGTTTAGAGATTCGATTTAATACAGTAGCAATTTTTCAATCTCAAAATAAAATATATTGAGTAACTCCTTTCTTAGGGATGTTACCCTTGCACAGGAGTTGAGAAGATATTTAATGAATATCGAGTTTTCCTCGATTGTTCATACCTGTGCCTTCTTTGGCTACTGTTTTTATATATATATACATGAGAAAGGCTGAGGAATTATCAAATACAAGCAGCTGTGTGCTGTGTTCGGTTGTGTGCGTTTTTTTTTTGTTTATAAAAGAGGTGGTTTAGATAAAGATTAAAAATTTTGTTTTCTAAATATTATATATTTTTTCGTTTAATTTCTAATCATAATATTTAAACCTCTTTTCAGACTGTGACAAGGAGAAACAAATATAGAAAACAACAAAAGGAGAAAGAACGGAAGACTTAATTTTCTAGTATTTGGAATGAAATACAAAAAACTGTAAGATTTACTTCACGGAAAACGCCACACTAACCTACGTTTACTTTGCACACAAATTTGAACACGAACTGTTGGCGTTCATAGTAAACATAGTAATCAACAAATATTTCGTAAGAATTTTTTTGTTTTTGCATTGAATAAACACATCCTAAAGTTTCGAAAACTGTGACGAACGTAACGCAAGAAAAAAAGGAAAGAATAAATAAACAAATTTTACATTCACATAAGTATGTAAATTGATAAGGCCAGCAAGCTAAAATTCAGCCTTCAAGCATATCAATCTAAGCTTCTATATACTATACATACATATATAACTTGAGTCGAGCAAAAGGAATCATTGAAGTGACCTAGTATACTGACAACTAGTGTTGAAAAGTAAATAGAGATAAAAAAAGAAAAAAACCAAAAGACCTACAATTCACTAGTTGGACTGTGCAAATGTATATCACTAACAGCAACAACATTGGTATGGCCACGTTGTTGCAACAGAATAAGGCTACTTGCATGAAGACCCTTATCAATGGTGGTGGCAACGGCAACAACAACGGTAATAGCGGAAATAATGTCAATTCTGGCATAGTTGTTGGCAGCCTTGTAAGTGGCGTCGGAACGGGAACAGCGCAAGTAGGTGGAGCAACGGTAGCAACTGTTGTTGGTGGTGGCGGTGCAACAAATATTGCTGGTTTAAGCAGCGGAAGTAATATAGTTTTGTCCACTGGTCAAGCCATTGTGCTTACCAATGGAGCCGGTGCTAGTAGTATAATAAACTATCAACAGTATCAACAGTTGTTGCAACAACAGCAGCAACAACAATCAATACATCAGCCCCAACAACAACAGTTAAACACTATTGCTACGACAACCACAACAGCAGGTACACGCGTATTGATGCCTCATGAAATGGTAACTCTTCCTATTAGTAGTATTGTAACAACGAGTGGAGGCGGCTTAGCATTGATAACCAGCGCTAATACGGCAGGCGGGAATGCAGCACCAACACAAGGCCATTTCTTGGTGGCAGCCACAGCAAGTCCCACGGTAGTACATCCTATTCAGACAACCACAATGGGTTCCACCAATGCAAATATCAGTAGCTTCCAGCAACAATTCCAACAACAAATTGCTGCACAGAATTCAACTGTAAGCAATGTCGTATCTTCAGCTTCGAATAACCGTACAACAACTACTGTTTATACACAGCAACCAAATACTACAGGTGTAGTACAAACAGTGCCTACAACACGTTACTTTTCGCAATTTAGCAATCAGCAACAACCTACATCTAGTATTAGTACTGGGACAACAGCAACAAAAATTGTCGCCACCAAAGCCACGGGCAATCGTACCACACATGTACTCATCAATCGTTCTAATAATACTATAATCGCTGGAAATACCACGCAACGCCTGCAACATGCTAAAATACTAAATAAACCACCGACGAATATAGCAGCGAATGCGGCATCTGTCGTTAAGAATGTCGTTGTCGCTAATAAGTCACAAATTTATCATAATTCTCAGTCTCCTGCCATACAAACTGTAAAACTACAACAGCAGCAGCAGCAACAACAACAACAACAAGTGCAGCGCCCAAATATTACGGCCTTGCAGCAAATTAAGCAACAACAGCTGCAACAACAACAGCAAAAAATACAGCTAGTAAAACCAATAGTGCATAGCAGCAGTACGGTAACAGCGATCGCCACAAAAACAACAACAGTTGCCAATATGGCAGCAACCTCGCGCACTCTAACGAGTGGGACCATGGTGAATGGTGGTATCAATACAGTTCCTAGCAGCAATAGTAACGCCAGCAATATCAATAATAAGGGTGGCAATGTTGTTGTTGCCACAACGACAGCGCTGGCGGTAAAAACGTTGCCAACGGCAGCTGTATTGCCACAAAAGCAGCAACAGCAATTACAACAACTACAGCTGCAATCAAAGTTGCAAAATCAGCAGCAACAACAGCAGCAGCAACAACAGCAGCAGCAGCAACAACAACAACGTAGTCAAAACCAAAATCAACAGCGTACAACTCAACAAACAGAACAAACGCAAGAAAACAAACAAATTGTACCACATCACACCCGCACCATACCCGCCACATCACACACATCTACAGCTGTTGCAGATAACAAAAGTGTTAACTCGATTGCTCCAACCAACACGGATGGTTCCGCTGGTGCAGAAGTCGCAAATGCCGAGCCCGAGGTTGAGCCAGAGATCGACATTGTTATCAACAATGTTGTTTGCTCATTTAGCGTACGCTGCCATTTAAATTTGCGCGACATTGCGCTTAAAGGATTCAATGTAGAGTATCGACGAGAAAACGGTATGGTCACAATGAAACTGCGGCGACCATATACAACAGCATCAATCTGGTCATCGGGCCGAATCACTTGCACTGGAGCCACGTCCGAGGAGCAGGTGGGTTTACTCTACGCGTTAGCCTTCTCAATGCTCAAAGATCTAGATAAATTTAGTAGTAGAAAGATATGAGTAGCCAATTCGATTCCTTAGACTTAGCTTCCAATTGACTTGTAGTATTAGCATTTACGTTTTTGTATTACTTCAAAAATATCTGCAACACAAAAAATATTAATCATATTTAAATAATTTGATTTGTGTTATCGTTTTGCAGGCGAAAATTGCAGCACGACGTTATTCACGCTGTCTTGAAAAACTTGGTTTTCGTGTGCGTTTCCAAAATTTCCGAGTTGTAAATGTGCTCGGTACATGCAGTATGCCTTGGGCTATTAAAATTTTAAATTTCTCAGAGAGATTTAAGAAAGAGGCCAGTTATGAGCCCGAATTACATCCTGGCGTCACATATAAACTACGTTATCCAAAGGCCACTTTGAAAATATTCTCCACCGGCAGTATAACTGTGACGGGTGAGAATTCTAAAATCAATTTTTTTTTCTTTCCAATTATTTATTAACTCACATTTGTATTTGTTTTACATTTTTATTTTTATTTCTTGAACGCTTCAGCTGCCAGTGTTGCTAATGTACAGGCTGCCATAGAACATATATTTCCACTGGTGTATGAATTCCGTAAGAAACGTTCTCCCGAAGAATTGGAGCAATTACGCATTAAACAACAACGTGCTGCCTCAGTTGATGTCACTGAACTGGAAGAGGTGCTAAATACTGACGTTGCCGTTGAGACTTCTACCACAAGTGTGCCAACAACATTACAAAAACATAGACGGATAAGCAATAGCGCACTTAATAGTTTTAAGCAAAAGCGGCGAAGACTTGATATCAATGGTGGAGGTGTTCATGTTGATGGGCAAGATGTATCATTGATAGCTGATGAAGAGGTCGACGATCCAGATGTAAAGGAAAGCGACGATAATATTGTGATGTATGATCCGGATGATTTAATTGAAGGACCCGATGATGAGGATGATGATCTTTAAATAATAAATAAAATAAAAAATCAAAAAATAAGAAAAAATTAAATGTGATTTGCGCATAGAGACAGAGACAGCGACAGAGAGAAAAAGAGAGAGGGGGAAAAGATTTGAGAAGAGCATTCATGCTGTTTGTTTACGTATTATGGTTTCATATAATATTTCTAAACTTATATAATTAAAATATGAATAATAGAAAATGAAATAATAATAAATTCACTACAAATTGCCAACATAATAGACTACTTGCAGACAAAACTAAAAGGCATTATTAAAACAGCAATGAAATATAGTATATAAAACAATAATAATTGCAATAATTAATTAGAATGACAAATCAACGTAAAATAATTGAGCCTACGATTTCACGCCAAACAAATTCCACATTACAAAACTAAAGAAAAAACAAAAATAAAAATAAATAAAACTTCCACACATCAGAAACCAAATGAAATTAAAAACCTAATCAAACAAATGAAGTTCATTGCTCAACAAAAAAAAATATATATATATAAAAGACGACATAAACGATTGTTTTACACTCGTTTTCGTATATGAACAAAATCCTCAAAATATGTACATACACGTACATATATGATTTACGTTTTTTAAGTACTTTTGTAAATCTAAATACTTCAGCAATTCGGTTGGTGTTAGAACTGCGAGTTGAAAACGTTAAAAATGAGAACACAAGCCAAGAACATGTAAAAATGCGTAATGAAAAATATCGAGGAGTATGCGAACAGCGAACTGCGAACTGCGATCTACTATGTGAATTGTGAGCCAAATAACTAAAAATATTTTTAAGGTAAGATCTGATATTTATGCTATCTGCTATTTTATTAGAAAATTGTATAATTTATATTGTATAATTTTATTTTTATTTTTTGCCTTCTAAATATATTATTTCCATATTTTAAAATTTATTTCCTCTTCTTTTTTTTTATTAGGTATTTCTAACATCCAGTGTGCTTTGCTAAATAACGTCATCACATGCAGCATCGTGCTATCAAGGCGTTTAACAAGCAAAAGAGACGGAGAAACATTTAAATTAAATGAATAACTCAAGGAATTCAGCGAATAAAACACTAAAAAAGCAACACTGATTTAAAAATAAACAATATTTAACATTAATTAAACATTATTAATTAAACAATTACAATATATATACAATTTTATGTATGATTACAACCATAGTTACTTACATACACGTATGTAAGCTTGAAATTTACTTTTAAGTGTTTCCTTTAATTAGTTTAAATACGGACATACCGACTTTCTCGCTGTTCATTTAAATCAGTAGTAATTGTAAGAATTATTAGCTATAATTTATGTATACATGTATACACCTAGATACATGTTGCGTTCATCATAAGAGAAGAAAGAAGAAGAAAAAACCACCGCAAAAAAAACATAAACAACTGATTTCATCACGCCCACATGCACACGCGCACACACACACACACACGTACCACATACAAACCCACCCACATATAAACACTGAATATTGTTTATTTCTAGCATAATTTATGAATCAAACATATAGGCACTTTCGTTACATTAAGCGTTTAACATGAATTCATTTTGAGTTTTTTTTTTTTTTGTAATTTTTTTTTTTTTATAAAAATAATACATAAAAACGTAAGAACGTATTGTGAAGAATTCTCTTATACATATGCAATTATCAATTGATTTATTTAATGAATGAATAATGTAATAACAACAAGCATTTTATTTATTAAATCGATATCACTTTAATTACTTAATTATATTAATTAATAAAATTATTGTTTATAGTTTTTTGTTTTTTATGAGCATCAATTAAAATCAAAGTATGCTTGATTGTACAGATTATTAACTACATATATATATAGATATATATACATACTTACATAACTCTATATATATACATATATGCGTATTTAATTTAAAAAATAATTTAATTTCATTAAAGAGAAATTAATTTAAAGCGAAATTGTAATGATCATTATAAATTTCTTAGCTTGGCAAACAAAGACAGTAAATACTGTTACTGCTAACCGCCAATAGCCAATAAGCCAAATAGGCATAAATAACTAAAAAAAAAAGAAAAAAATTCTGTATGTAAAATAAGACATTCATATAATTTATAAGTATGAACAAAAGAACATACAAGCAAACAAATTGAAAATAAAATTAAATACAATTTAAATGCAAACATATTGTTTGCAAAAGACCAAAAGCAAATAAAAAGTACTAAATTTTTTTTTTTTTATATAAATATATATAGAAGTATTTACCTACATATACATATATATATATGTATATAACTTAATATTACTTATATCTGGTCACACTCAAACCAATTACCTACAAATAAACATAATATAGACTACAACTACACTAAGTACGTATGTATGTAGTAATGTACACAGACAAGCAAGCGTATATTATATATTTGTTATAGTTATCATTAGAAACATAATGCATATATACACTTAACAAATTAATATTAAAAAAAAAAAATGTTTAATTTTAAGTTGAATTGTATAAGTAAATTAATTTGCAAATTTAAAGATGAGAGCGAAAAATCTTACTATAAGTCAAATATCGCGTAAACTAAATGAAGTACTTTTGAGCGTCTTCTTTTGCTGTAATTTAAAAAAAAAAAGAAAAGAAATCAGAAACCTTATGCAACAGTCATTTTTCTATTAAAATTGAATCAGTTAATGTGTATAATTTGCAGCTGAACTTTTTAGTTTTTAATTTTTAATTAAATTTTTTGCAAATTCTCATTTGTATATGGGCATAACGTATAGTAGTGATACTCTTTTTTTTTGTTTTTTTTTTTTTGTGAATGTTTATATAAAATACGTTTTTTGCAGGTCAGTAAAGTAAATTCTCTGCCACATGTAAGAATATGCCTACTAATTAGTACAATTACCTATATTAGCTATGTGCGTTTGTTGTTTGTACAATTTTTCAATAAAAGTAGGCATGTAAAATAAACATGTGTGGCGTGTGAGGGGGAGAGGAGGAGACATATAGTAGTAGATGTTAATTTTTTAAATCCTTTTTGTTAAGTAAATACAAATTAATTAAATACATTTTTGTTCCTTTTCTTTTTTCTATTATATTTAACAGTGTTAATGAATTGAAAACTTTGCTTTTTATTAAATACATACACACATACATATATAGAAATATACGAACTAAGCGAATTAGTTAATTGAATGTATTATTTAGCAAGAATTCAAAGCAATCTTTCAGCAATTTGATCGTCAGTATGTATACATGCATACGCATGCATGTTCTTATGTACATACATATGTATACATATGTAAATAATGCATATTACGCCCATGTATGTATATGTTTGTACTTTTGATTGAACGTAAAACAGCCAAAACAATATTTAATTTGAATTGAAATATATTTAATTTTATTTAAAGTTACTAAACAATCACTTTGCGATTAAATTACTGATCGTTTCGTGTATTTGTTAAACAAATAATTAAATATATATACATATACATATATTAATTAATACAAACACAATCATCTATAACACCTATACATATGCATAAACACTCCTACTACACCTACTACATACACACATCTACTAACTAACGTATACATATGAGAATGACACATACTATAAAAGAAAAATACATAAATACATATACTAAATATACATATGAATATTAAAACAAATCAAACAAAAATTAATTTTAAACACAAAGATAAACAAACAAACAAACAAACAAACAAAAAAAAATGTGAACAAAAAATAAGCAAAACTATACATACATACATATATATACAACATATGAAAAACAAATTCCTTAGAGCAAACAAAAAAAAAAAGAAAAATTTACTCGAATTATGGAAGAAAAAATAATGCATAAGTTACACACATACATATGTACAATATTATTTGAATGGCGAAAAATTGATTAGAAAACCAAAAAGGGTAAAAAACCATAAACAAAACATTAAAATAAAAGCGACTTGTAAAACAATGAAAAGCGAAAGTGCGTAAAATGTGAGTTGAAATAAATTAGCGAAAGTAAAAGTTAAAAAAAAAAACAAATTTTGTAAAGGAACATAAAAAAATAAATACATACATACATAGTATATTGGCAAGTGATTGAAGGCATATTTAAAGAAATTTCGAAAGCGAGTAAAAATAAGATATGTATGTAAATATTGGTTAAAATGCTGTACAATAAAAGCCACACTTATATTGTAATAAATTCCAAATTTAACTAGTTAGTTTTATAAAAAAAAAAAACAAAATGAGACATTTCGGCAGACACTTAACTATTTTTTTTTTGAAAAAAAAAAATTTATTTATTTATAAATTGTGAAAATTTTAGTAATAATGTTTCATGTAAAAACAAAAAGAAATTTATTCTAACTGACGCCTAATTAACTCTCATAACAAAAAAATTGTTTAGTGAAGTTGAGAGTTAAGCAGCAAAATTTATTTGGGTTGAACCAAAAAAAACGTAGATTTTTACGAATTCAAAAATTTGTTATATGAGCAATTTGCATAGTAATGGCTCTCTCAGCCAATAATGAATTGTTTTTTTTCTTTTTTTCTTTTTTTTTTTTTTTGGGAAACCAACAGTACCAGGTTTTATTTTTCATGGCTTTCAAAAACTATCAACTTACTTTGCAGTTGAAAAATCAAGAAAATTACCATTCAAAGTCGCTAAATAATTAAAAAAAATTAGCTTGCTGTAAAAATTAGTTAAAAAAAATCGTCAAAAAATGTCAAGCCTTCAAAAAACCTATAACACAATTCCATATTGTAAATTTCACAATTTTGAAACGAAATAAAAATTCTTTTTTATATAAAATCATTGATTTGCCATAACAACCACCATCACTGTTGGAGGCAACATAGCCTTTTGCTGAAAAAAAATGTACTCCAACTTGGACTCGCTTGGTTTCAATACACACACACACACACACAGACAAGTAGGAAATGCGTAGTTTTCCGCTACATATTGTATAATAATGAATAAAAAAATATTTGCCA